AGGGGGTTGTGTGTGGGGGGCTGTGCTGGGGTAGCATCACCCCCACGGGGGCCTCGCACCAACCTCCTCTGGGTGCTGGGATGGTGGCACCCAGCCGGCGGGGGGGGGCTCCTGGGTGGGAGCTGGGAATGGGGCCCCAGGGGCAGCCCTGGCAGCGTAAGGACACAGCGGGTCCCGCTGGGAAGCCCCGAGGCGCAGGCCTGGAGGGGCCTCCCGGAGGAATGTCAGCTGACGGCTAAAGCCGGAGCCCTTGGCAGGGCAGCAGGGCCCCAGAAAAGCCCTTCCTGCCAGGGGCCGGGGGGCCAGGGCAGCCCCTGCCTGGGGGGCTTGGTGGCCCCTGAGCTGGCGAGGGTGGCTGCGTACCCCAGGGCTGGGCATGGGCACCCCGCAGTCACCCCATCCCCGGGGGGGGGGCTCAGGGAGAGGGAAAAGCCCCAGGAAAACTCGGGGCGCCCCGGGGGACCCGGTGCCCTGCCAGCCCCGGGGGAGGTTTCCAGGCAGGAGCTGCTATTTTGGGAGGGTGAAGCAAGAGGGTGAAGGATGCAGACGAAAGTTCAACGCGCCTCCGGCAGGTCCTCCCCCAGCCCGACCCGGGATAAAAACAATCCGGGGAGAAAGGGAGGCAGAGCCGGAGCCGGCAGCACCCCTGGCACCGGGACCGGCACCCGCCGGAGCCCCCGGGGAGGTGACAGCCTGTCTGGGACGGGTGCTGCGCCCGCCATCCCTCCGGGATCCTCCTGCCCTTCTTCTCCTAAAGAGCGTCTGGCTTCAGGACGGCGTTTGGGGGAGGACGGCGCCTCTCTGCCGGGGCACGTGCACACGCGTGTGCCCTCGCACGGGCACCGGAGCAGCGTGGAAGGCAGGGACTCTGCAGAAGCCTCTTGTGCCTCAGTTTCCCTGGGGGTTGACTCACAGGGTCCGGGAGCAGCCCCTCGCTCTCCGGTGGAGGCTCAGCCTCCAGTAACCGGTGCCGGTTGCTCTGCCGCCCCCGCACCGGTGCTGACCCGGGCCCAGGCTTCCTGCTGGCTGCTTCCTTCCTCCGCACGGGTTTCCCAGCTGCTGACTCAGCACCAGCCCCCCATAACCCCCGCACCCGCCGTGGGGCCGCCGTGGGGTGTCTGCCCCAGCAAGGCTGCCCCGTAGCCACACGGCTTTCGCCCTCGCATCTCCCCCGTGGTGGGCGATTTCCTTCCCCCTTCCTGCAGGGACCCTCTGGGCTTTCCAGCCCTTGCTGGGGTTTCTGTAGGTCCTACCCAAACACCCCGCTGGCTGCAGGGTAGGTTGGGTGTGATGCCACCATGTGCTGGCTGCCTCAAAGGGACCCATGCCGGGCTGCGAGGGATGGGTTGCCCTCAGTCCCCTCCTATGTGCCAGGGCAGGTGGTCCCTGGCACAGACCCCTCACCCGGGCACAGCCTGGTCCCGGTTTCTCCGGTGCCCCCACGGTGGGACCGAGCACCCTCTGGCACAGAAGCCACGGTGAGGGGCTGCGATGGAGCTCAGCACAGCACCGGGACCAGGCATCCCTGATGCCTCGCTCCGAAATCACCCGCACGCATTTTTTCCAGGCTTACCTTTCCTGGGGAGCCGCGGGGCAGGGTGGCTGGCATGGCTGGCATGGCTGGCACGGTGGCAACAGTGGCACCGAGCCCACCGAGCCCCGGCTCCGCGGCGGCTCAGCCCTTGGGCAAGCGAG